GCTCGTGTGTGCAGGGCTACGCCGGTCTGCAGTGCGAGGACTGCGAGGAGGGACACTTCACCAACGGCACCAGTGGATGCCTGCCGTGCACCTGCGACTCCTTCGGTGCAATCAACAACCTCTGTGACAGGTCAGGCCGCTTCCCCCGCTTTCTGTTGGGTTTTCATGTTGGAGGTGTATGTTTGTTGTGTCAACACACTGTAATTGAAGAGACATTTTTATTCTCTGTGCTGTATGCGGCTGGAAAGGGTCTAATAAATCGGATTGAATTAGTATTTAGACAACACTATCTAACTTTCGCCAGATTTAGTACATCATCAGAACATTTATATTAACATAGAATTGAGTGATTGTGTTAAATGAAAGGAGCTGCTTCTGGTTATGAACCCACCCAGTTCTCGTATGTGTTTTAGCATCTCATAAGCTCATTGTTTTAGTTTTATAGCCCGCAAATGAACTATTTGGTTCCGTCTCACAGCTCTCATCAGCGGGCAGCTGTTGTTTGTGAAAAAGCTCAGATAAACCCACTGTACTATATCTGCTTAGCACCAAGTGGCAGAAAGACACAATTAACTGGTGAACATAGGGAAGCATATAGCAGCTAAACAGGCAGTTTTGTCTCAGAAGATGGTGGAGACCAAAAACGGAGCTAACAGGAATTGAATGTAGGACTTATATTCTACTGATGGCCTGAAACACGATTCCAAATGAATGCTAATGTTTCTCCTTGTCGGCTGGATGTGTAAATAAGCTGGTTGAAATCACTTTTGCCATAACAACATTATAAGTTGATTAAATGTCAGAAGTTGTGTTTACAGCTTGTTCCACTGCCCTCAGATGGACAAAAAAGGATTAATGTAGGTTTAACAATCAGGTTTTTTTCCTGGATCTGCATTGTAAACTCTTAAAGCTTGACCCTGAGCCTATATAACAAACCCGTCTGGCAGCCAAGCGTACATTAAGAAACAGAAATTGTTATGTTTAGGTTTAACTAAGTTTCTGTATAGTGTTAGAATATTTTCACTGTGCAGAATGATGTTTGTGCAGAGTTTGACACTTGAAGTAGTAGTAGAAGTACTACTTGTATATTTGTCTTAATAATATATGTCTGGAGGACATCTTACCTAAGCTTAACACATTATTGTGTGTTTGGTAGTTGAGTATTTTACTGGAATATTGCTGTTGACCAAAGACACTGGTTGAACTTGGACTTGATTTGCATAAAAAGCTTGTGATTGGACTTATTTGCTTACAAGTGTATGGTGGACCAAGCTTAATTGTAATGCAAGCACACAAGTGTACGAACACTGAAGTTCACCCAGCCTTCCTGAGTAAATGAGAACCAGTGGGTTGACCACAGAGTGACTGCAGTGTATGACTGACAGGCCACCACTGCACCACCACGGAAAAACAAGATGGCTAATTGTGTTTCTGTGATCTAAACTTGGTAACAAATCCTTTTTATCAGATGGTTGAGGTTTATTTTGAGTATTAGTAAATATGTTCAGGCATCGTTTTTACGTAGCCTGGTTGTATGCATTATGTGTGCTGTGGATTCTCACGACAAAGCCAGACAGTGCCTCTATAAAATGTGTGATCTACCTCAAACTTCATCTTTAAAGGAGTACTGTCTTTAGCAGTAAACAAGCTGTGGCCTGCCAAGCCCAAACAGACTGTCTGCTGTGATTTAGTGTTTGTTACCTCATAAAGACTGAGACAAGATATTCTGGGGCTCAGCTTTGCTCAGACGTTATGTTCATCATAACGCCATAGGCCTGAATAATCATTATTCTGCCCACTGAGTCAAGCCATCATCCCGCAAACCTCCCTGAAGGCTGTCGAATGTTCAGACCCTGCTCAGTCCTCAAACTCGGAGCCAGAAAACACACGGCGGGCCTTCTATGCAGCTTCTCTACAAGTCACAAGAAATGTGACTTGGAAAAGAGGCTGCATGTGTGGGTTAGGAACGTGGTAAAAATAGCGGCAGTATTTTCTGCCTCCGACCATGAAAAGGAATGCTGCTGCTTTTGAAAAGCTTGAGTCAATGTCCACGGCGTGTGGAGGATTTGTGTTGTCATGCTCTGAAAAATACATCACAGTATAGGCTTACATGAGCTAAACCGCTGCAAAACGCGGGATGTCTTTTTCATGTTTTAAGCCTAAAATGTTGTGTGTGGAGCTCAGTGGGATGTAGGTGAAGGTGCAAGAAGCAGGGTTATTTCAGGGCTTCGAGCTTTCACAAAGTAACACACCTAATATAGTCCTTCTCAGACAGTCTGAGCCAAGCCTGGATGCTGCTAACCCTGCTAGCCTAGCCTAGCCCCCCTCAGGAGCTTATCACTGTGAGTTACACAGATTAGCCAGCTTTTCTACCCCCCGGCCTTCTGCTTTAGGTATCTTTCCCATTAAGTAATGAGCAATCCAGTCAAGCTAGAGCCAGGTGCTACTTAAGTTGTGACCGCTGCAATGACTGTGAAAACCGACACATCTCGGTACCTTGAATTAGTTTTACTGTCTTCATTCTGATTTGGGTGGCCTTATAGAGTCATGAAATAATATCACAGTCAGTATATCATGACATCTCATCCTGCCTGGTTAAACCTGCAGGTAAGTTCTAATTTTTTCATAAATAGCCCAGTAAGTGGAAAAAAACATTCTTGGTCAAGTAGCTTTAGTAATTTGACACTAACTTAATTTTGTCATTTTTATTTGTACTGTGAAACAAAAATATTTAGTAAAAAGTACATGATCAGGAATGGGCCTGTAACTTACAAAACTAAGTTAGTCTCACTTAAAATTACTAGTAAAAACTACTTAATCAAGAATGTTTTTAACTTAAGCGTTTGTGTTATGGAATTTTTTTGATGTAATCAGTTTCAAGATTTTTTTTAATTAAAAAAGCTAATTAGTGAACTAGTAAACACATTTGTTACCTTTAGACAGAGCTAAAACTGCTGCTGGCTCCAGTACACATATAGTGCACAGACATGAGTCACATTGATCTCATCTAACTCTCAGCAAGAAAGAAAATGAGTATCTATTCCAAAATGGCATAACCTTTAATCTACTGCACAGCATCCTCCATTCCTTTGGGTAAGCTTTTCGCAAATCTTTGGAACCTGCTGCAGGGATATGCCCACATTCAACACTGATGTTGGGGGATAAGGTCTGTGTTCCAGTTCATCCCAAAGGTGTTGGGTGGGGTTGAGCTCAGAGGTCTGTACAGGCTGATCAAGTTCTTCCACACCAAACTGGGGAAACCATTTCTTTACACAGCTAGTTTTGTGTATGAGGGAGTTGTCATTTTGAAACAGGAAAGGGACAAACTGCTGACACAGAGCTTACACTTTTGTCTGAAACATCATTGTATTTTGTAGCATTAAGTTTCCCCTTCATTTGAACTAGCCCCAGAACAAAAGTCCGGAGGGGCACACAGGATACAGTGTAGGATACGTACAGGTAGCTTAATGTTAACCTGTTCTTCAGTTCAGTAGTTACCTAATGTCATAGGCTAAGTGACAGACCCTCCAATTAATACTTAGCTATTTTGCCTTTATGATTTCACTCCATCATTCTTTTCAAACCTTTATGACATCAGGAGCGTTGATAGACACACACCGTAGAGGCAGGTTCACTTCCAGATGGCTGGGAGCAGAATGACAGCATAGCTTGAGGGAAAAGTTGGGATATTTGTTCTCAAAACACAAACAATCACACATGTGTAACTCCATCTGAGCTGTTATTAAGCAGTCCCTCAGTTTTTCTGAGGCCACATTATGTAATCGCAGTACAATATATAGCTCAAAGCCAGACAGAGTCCTCTTCTAAAACACTCTCTGTTGGTGTGAAAACCTGAGATCTGAATATGTGTGTGGCTTTGTGATGCTGACTCTGCTACATACATGTACTGTGGTCATCTTAAGAATGTCCCTTGCATTTCTGAGTCACTCCTGTTGTGTGTTAGTGTGTTTGTCTGAATATTTGACCAAATATAGATGGCATGACATCACAAGGAGATATTTCCAGCAGCAACTGACTGTAATCTAAAAGCTATCTAAAACATCAATGTGAACATCAGAATTCCGCATCACTTCCTTCATCACCTCTCTAGAGGTAGTTTGCATAGTCATTCGGCAGTATGATAGATAGTAGAATGGAATATCAATTTGTTCTCTTTTAACCCCAACGAAGCAGAATGCACAAGAAGCCATAAGAGATGTTTTTTTTATTTTGCGTTAAGATCACTCAATATCTTCAAACTTTGCATTAGACTTGATTGTTTAGCATCACAAACAAATTAGTTTATGCGTATTTGCAATGGCAGTTTTAGACAGAATGTATCTGATGTCAAGAAGTTCTGTTTGAGAAGAGAATTTGAATTTCAAAATGCACTGTAAGTTGCTGTACTTTGCATTTGCACTCTACTTTGCCTTGTGATGACACTAGTTATTCTCACCATTGGAGTATGACGTTGAGGCTGCCTAACAACCCACTGTGCTCTGTAACAGCGTGGATCCCAGTGGGTACATCAAATGGGGAAACAATAAGCCATCAGTACAAACAAGCACTGAGCTTATAGCTTGGGGTTGCTGATTAACTCACCTTTCACAAGAATTGCTGATAATGGCGTGACCTATGCTCACTGCCTCAATGGTGCAAGTTCTTATTTAGCTGACAGCAGTTTACAGTGTGTGAAAATAGTTTTCTGCCATACAGGGGAAGTGTATGGTACATATGGTATGTATGGTTTTTACAAAGAGACTTTGATATGCAGCCAAATATCAATTCAATTCAAATCATAACAGAAGTTATCTCAGGACACTTTTCAAATAGAGCAGGTCTAGACCGAACTCTTTATAACATTATTTACAGAGACCCAACAGTACCACCATGAGCAAGACCTTGGCGACAAGGGCAAGAAACCTAGGACAGATCCTTCGGCTCTAGGTGGGTGGTCGTCTGTCTTGACCAGTTGGGGAGGGAGAGGGAGGGAGAGAGGGAGAGACAGACAGACAGACAGACAGACAGAGACAGACAGAGACGCACAGTAAGTAAGTGCTGACCTTTATTTCTCTACAATTCCTGGATCCTTTTTTTTATTAGTTTTGCTTCCCCTATTGATAAGGATTGCAAGAACATTGTGGGATGGTCAGTGTGAACTTTTTTCTGCTTCTGAAAAGTTTAAGAACCACTGTGTTAAAGGAAAGTCAAGGGATCACTAGATTCATTAAGGTTGATCTTCTGGGAAGCAAACTGTTATCCATTATTTGTCAAGGTATTTCAGATATTCCATTAAAACACTTCCCCGTATGTCCTGGATCAACTGTGTTAATGTTGGATAATAAAACACCAATCAGTGGCAGTGGCACACATAAATATTGCCAAACCAATTGTCAAGTGTCCTGGGACACTAAACTTCACCGAAACCCAGACTAATGAAATTCCTTCAGGGTTAGCAGCTCTTTAAAGCCGTGTGCCATCTGTAATTGTATCCCTATTCAATGTTCTTAACATCCCTAATGAGATTTCCCCCTCTTGTCCTCTCATTTTGCATTTCGCCTGCAGTCATTCTGCAAGTCATGTGATTTAAAATGGACACACACTGTTACCCAATTTGTTGAGTTAGGTCATGCCAATATTTGACAGAAGAGCTGTATTAACCACTTGTATCTGTCATAACAGTTGTATCAGTGCTGTATTTGGGTCAGCTCCTGTGGGCATTGTCTGTAAGGCAATTCTTTTTACCATATTGTACGGAAGGCGCCACATTCTGTAATGAAATATTGATCGTGTGTGCAGATGTTTCTGCCTCTGTGTCACTCTGCAGTGGATGCATCGTTGCCATCTATGTGTCTGTTTGGTATTATTTGACTGTATTTGCTGATAATGAGTGCTGGGGACAGAGAAAAATCACTGAAAAAGCCTGAATTCATCCCTTTTGGCTAAAATGTCTTTAAGATCAAACATATGGCCAACTAAACAGGGTACAGGAATAAGGTTAAAATGTAACGCAGCAGCACCTGTTTTCATTCGAGCATTTGACTCGTGTCGCTGCCTAATCAAGTGGAAACAGTGAGCTGATTCGCAGCATCCTGCTGTAGTGGACTGCAGGGCCACATGTCTGAGTCTCTGACTGATGGCTGCTCTCAGAGGACCTGCAGTCAGTGCCTGACTGCGCTGCCCTATCTGTGGCTGGGTGTTCAGTGCAGAGTGCACATGTGCAGGGCTGGTACTGCTCTTTGATTAAATGCCTATTAGTTATGCATTATACTGTAATGTTTTTGGTTAATTAGCTGTTCATTTAGAGGCCTTTCTACAGTTGAACACGCATTTGTGTAAGAGGAGTGTCACTCTTCTTAAAGGAATAATCTGATATTTTGGAAATTGTGCACCCTGCACTTCCTATACACAGGTGGGATGTGTTTAGCTTAGCTAGCTTAGCACGACAACTGTAAGCAGAGAACAGATCACATGTCTCTCAGCTCTGTTGTCGAACACACCCTTTCTGGATTTGGCTGTTCACACGGCAATGCAACTAAACCTGCTTAGCGTAGTTCCCTGTTTATTTCGAGTGTTCACCTCCTGTTAATTATTCCCGTGATCACTTCCCTGTTGCAGAGAGGATGTTTGCTCTTATCTGACACCAGTGACAGCCCGATGGCCAGCTGCCGCAGAATGGGGTTAAGCTTTGTCGCCCATGTAATACTGACCTACTTAACATGTAGATCTGCACAGAGCAGTGAAATCACACCAAAACAATAACAACCCCCTCCTCCCGGCCAAGAAGGCACACATTAACACCAGGATTAGTGATCACAGAGGGAGGAGGTTTCAGCATCATTTCTATTTTTGAGTCTCATTTGAGTTAGGACTGCATGGTAAAAACATCATATTGCAATATTTTGACAGATATTGCAATTACAATAGATAGAAATGAAAATGATCACTTTTGCGACACAAATGAAATTTTCAAGGTTTTTTGGAGTGGGGGGTCTGTACCAAATAAATAAAATCTGGAGAACAAGATTTGTAGACCAGGCTGTCTCTTCAGCACTACAGAAATGAGAATGTTCACTGTAATTATTATAACTCCAGAAAATTGTTACGGATTACATCGTATCACAAACTCAATTTTGTAAGTTAAAGATTCTTGATTAAGCAGCTTTTACTAGTAATTTTAGTGACACTAACTTAGTTTTGTAAGTAACAGAAATATTCCTTGTTTTCACAGTACAAATAAAAATTCCAAAACTAAGACAGTGTCACTTAAAATGACTAAAGCTACTTAAAAAAGGAATGTTTTAAACTTACAAAATCGAGTTAGTTTTACTTTACTAATGTTTGATGTAATCAGTTTAGTAAAAGTTGAATTAACCTATCTGGTATTAGAGTGTACACAGTGATAGAGGATTGTAGTGGCAGCGTGGCTCAAGGTGCTGAAATGCTGCTTATACACAAGACAAAGTTACACAGATCACAACATGATCTCCTATGTCAAAAATAATTCCATTGGTGGCTGTAATAAGCAAAGTATTTGCAATTTGATGACGGTCTTTTGTAAGCTAAAACATGTATTGAAGTTTCAGTGTGTAGGTTTGAATGATTAGAATAGTTGATCAACCAATCACAGGCCTAGAATCCCTCAGACATCCAAAAAGAAAAAAGTCAGTCACAGCAAGGACGAAAAGGGCAAGGAGCACTCCCAGAGGTTGCCTTTCTCATCACATCACTGCTCCTTCTGTAATGAGCCTGGGGTTAAAATGTGTAAATGGAAGTTATTTCTAATCCTTCCTACCCCCTGCAGGCTTTATCACAGCTTCAAGCTTCTCACTGTTTACTCTAACTGCTGATCGGGGAATAACAACAGTTTCTTTTTGCTTAAACATAGTAAGAAATCGAGCGCCCGGTTGGCTCAGTCGGTAGAGCTGGCAGTCCATGTACGGAGTTGCTGCAGCAGCCCGGGTTCGAATCCGACCTGTGGTCCTTTGCTGCGTGTCATCCCCTCTCTCTGTCCCCCTTTCCTGTCTATCCCAGCTGTCACTATCAATAAAGGCAAAAAAACCAAAACAAAAACTTAGTAAGAAATCAGTAAAACAGTTTCTCATCACAGCCTGAATGTAGAAGAAAGTGTATCAGACTAATGTTTACTGCCCGGTATGTTTAATAACAATAATAATTGTAAATAAAGATGAAAACAAGTACTGCAAGTCAAGAAGCATAAATAGAAAAATGACAATGATAAATGAAAAAAATATAAAGACAATATATACAATATGACTTCTGTTTTAAATGGTAGTTGTACAGTTTGTGCAGGAATGTGCAAAATATCACAGTACAGGGTTCCCATGTGTCCCAAATACTCTGGAAATATTCTATGTTGGTCTGGAACATTTGAATTGTATTTTAGCCCCTCACTCAAACTGCCTACATAAACCATATTTTGTTTGAAACTCGACTGTTGTTGTTGTGTAGTGTGCTGTGTGGTATAACACTTCAAAAACTAGAGTTAAATGTGTCAATACCAGGCCTAGCAGTACAATTTATTGGAGTGCTGTCCTGTATTGTCATGGAAAATGTCCTGGAAAATGATATATTAAAAAGAGTTGGAACCCTGACAGTATTAAGCATAAGGAATATTTGCAAGAAACAGAAATTGGCAATAACATATGAAAAGCATATTATAAAGACAATAAAAGAAACAATATGCACAGTGTTGTTTAAATGAAGAGCTGTAAAAGGTCACATTATAAGTTAGAAAAATATTAGGGTAGAAGACACACTTTTATGAATGAATCATTTTAAAATGATTTAAATTAGAATATACACGGTACCCCTTGTCTGCGTGTGCAATAAATTATAAGGCTTTTAGTACAGATTTTGGTGATTTTGGTGGACTCATTCTTTAGGGACAGACTAGGGATGCACGGTAATTATAAGGGCAGATAAATTATTGGCCAATAATGGGAAATTTATATTATTATGAATTATGGGGATAATGAAATTATAGCCAATAAATTATCGGTCCATTATAATAATAATAATTTTTGAATTCTTATGCAAAACATTTAATAACCTTTATGTTCTATGAAAGTATGATTGTGAAGGTCTTTGATCAACTTTACTAGAAGAACTGAATGAACATTTGAAGAGCCATATCTGTTGTTTGTTGATATGACAGTGATTTCAGATTTGGTTAGGTCAGAGCTGTTAAATCATCCATCTTTGCTCATTACATCACAGCGTTTCTTGCCAATAAAACTATGAATTTCTGTATCCACCCTGAGAAGCAGGTAAGTATCAGTTATCATATCAGCTAAAAAAAAAGAAAAGACGATGGATGAATGGATGAGAGAACTTGCAGGAAGTCAAGTGTGGAATCAGGACTGCAGTCCAGAGATGCTTAAAGGTCACAAGTAAAGCACATAGAGCCGCTTTTAGTTTGGAAACTGCGGAGATTCTCAAGTGATGTGCTTTTTTGAGGATTCACAGTCAATCTCAGCAGTTATTATACAGAGAAATGTGCCATCAGTGGTGAGGCTTCCAGTACAAACGTGTACTTTGACATTTTCTCAGCATCTGTATCTTTCCACGAGGAATGACGAGCGTCTTCCATCAGACAGGATCCATCTTACTGATGACGCACACATTTGTCGCGCAGGCTCTCTTATCATGCTTGTTGCAGAAATTTGAATTATTTCACATTTCTAGAGCTGAAACCATTAGTCAATTAATTGATTAGTAGATTGACAGAAAATGATTCAGTAACTGTTGATTATCAGTCAGTTAATGCCAAACATTTTCTGCTCTCAGGTTCTCAAATGAAAAGATTTGCTTCATTGTAAATGAAGTATGTTTGGATTTAGACTGCTGGTTGGAAAAAGCAAGACATTTAAAGACGTCCCCTTCTCCTCTGGGAAATGATGATGAACATGAAATGAAAATTTAAAAAGGATCAATGAATAAACAACTAGTCAATTAATTAAGAATACAATCAGGAGATTAATTGATAATCAACTTACTAAGAATAACATGACATTTGTCTAAAATGGCTTTGCAGAAGGATGAACTTTTGATTCATAAGATTTTGTTGATTTCTTTGAAATGAAACAAAAACATTTAATTTAATGATTTAATAGGGACATATTAACTACGGTTTTGTTGAATAATGATAAACCAATTAATATCATATCAATAATTCAGACTTTAAATTTCCGATCCCCGCTTTTTTACCAGTATGGGCATGGAATAGGTGTTAAATTGCATCCATAATGGTCCTAAAAAGTCTTAAATTTAACCTGTTGAAACCTGCAGAAACAGTGCAACAGTGCACCCCTAATCTCCAGACCTTCAGTACTAAATATTGACTCTCCAGGAGGCCATCTGCCACTCCACATAAGTGAATTTTATAGATTAATTAATTATTATTAATTATAGCTTTTTGAAAGGAAGCACTTTAGTGGAGATTCTGCTCACTGTCTCTGTGACAATTGGACATTGTCTCTCTGACTTTCATTTAATCAGGGTCATGATGCTGCATGTGGATATTTTTTGCTTTTGTTTGGATGTGTGTGTTTATCCGGGAGAATGAGGACTGTTGATCTCCCAGCCTTGTCCTCAGCATAGCCCACTCCCCACTGAGCATCGCCGTGGGCCTCCTGATTTGCATTAAGTGCAGTTGTTTTAACAAAGCCCCATTTGTACGAGGACCCACGCACATGCTCACAGACAGTGCTCGCAGTCACTCATGATTTACTTAAACTGTTTTGAAGTCATTGTCCCCAGATTATGATTCTGAGTCCATTGTCTGGGTTTGAGGGGTGATCAGGCTTGACTTAAGCATTGTACTTTTCCTAGGAAATTACCTTGAGTGTGGGTGGGATGAGAGAGCCGTGGATGATTTTACTTTAGGGAAAAATAAAAAATCTCTTGCTGCCTCTCACTTTTCCCTCATGTATAAATGAGCATGCAGCATATTTAACAGCCAGTAACACAGAATGGTGCAGATCCAACCTGGAACAGACACATTAACAAATGAAATAAGTCATGTGTGTTATTGCTGAAGAGCTCACATGCAATTGGATTTAACTTTGCTGGAGCATTCTTGGAGGCATTATCCGCTGAGAGCAGTCATACTCTGTTACGTAAAACACACAAAGCCAATAAAAGGCTTTAATGCTCAATGCTCTGATTTCTTGTGTTTAGTTCTGTTTATAGTTATTTCACACACCATAGATTTATTTATTTTTGTTAAGAATTGTGACCTTAACATATAATTAGCGAGACATTTTACAGTGTAAAAATCAACTTGTCACTGCTCTGGTGGACAAATTAAGTGAAGGTGACACTTTTTCTAAATTACCTGAAACATAATTTGGCATTTTTATACTGCAATTTCTTTCTCATCAGCTGGGATATACATTGATAATGTGATAATATCACCGATTGGAGGAGTAAAGATTACATATGCTTCTTGGAGAGACTGAATATTGCGTTTACACCTTTTGAACATTGGGACTGTATACTGCAAAGACAGCACTTCTAGAAAAGAGGCAAATATTCTTAAATAATGATCAAATGTTCTTGTATTGAGCAAAAAAAAATCAGTTTTGCTTGGCTAGAATTCTTAAAACTAGAATACCAATCTAGCCACAAGTTGTGCAAGTAGTATTAATCTTAAAAATAGGAAAAATAATCTGTTCCTCTGCTGGGATATTATGCAGACCATTGTTGTAATCTGTAAAAGGTTCAATCTAGCTCAATATTAGTGTAACATCTTATTAAGACAAAATGTTCTTAAAACGAGATTACTTTTCTAATGTAAAACTTTCTTGACAAGATTATTTTTCTTTTTAGACAAAAAAATAAGACTCATTGCACCGAAACAAGGCTATTTTTCTTTCCTGAGATTACATTTTTCGCAGTATAGTTTGGCTTTTTTTAAATCTCAGATTTTTTCGAGATGCACAATATGGTTAATGAAAACTGTACACAGTGAGGTTTGTTGGTTATCCAATATATATAACTTTGCAACATTGTTTTTGGAAAAATAGTTTGATCACCACATAATGAATTTGTTGTATCGGGATGGCAGCAGGAATCTCAGAGAACTAGGTCAAATTAAACAAAAACCATGTGTGTAGCTAGATTAACACTAGTGGTAGGTAGGTGAGGTTGTGTTATTTTTTGATTTTGGTTTACCAATCCTTTAGATACAGACTGAATGACTTCTTAGGAAATGCATATGGGGAATAACAGGTTTTATGCACTGCCCAACATGCCAAACATTTTAGTGGAGAAACAAAACTGTAAGTGACTCAGGCTGCTTCATACCTGGAGCAGAGCTATAGGAAGCAGATGGATGGATGGGAGAACTGCAGGAAGTCAAGTGTGGAATCACCTCAACAGTCTGGACGTCAGCTGTCAGGGCTGCAGTCCAGAAAGCAAACACACAGAGCTCCCTTCACACCTCGGCATTCTGTTGCATTAAATGAAAAGCTCTCTGTGTTTTGCACACTATTGATTCTGTCTTCTGTTCTGCCTCTTTCAGCTCAGGGATATGTGTGTGCAAGACGGGAGTGTACGGACCCAAGTGTGACGAATGCCACCCGGGGTTCTTCCACTTCAGCAGCACTGGTTGCCGGCCCTGCCAGTGTCACAACCACACCAACTACTGCCATCCACAGTCGGGTGAGTCTGCTGAGGACATAGAAAATATTGGCATGATGCACGGTATCACTTTTCTAATTAAACAGACTTGCTGCTCTTTTTTTCTGTATAAAACTCAATATGTCAGCGTTGGTCACCTTTGATGGAATGATTTTTCCACAATTTGTAGTATCTATAAAAGTTTACATTTAAAGATTTAGATTTAATTACATTCAATTAAAAAAGAACATAATGCCGCAGCTTTACCTTGAATCTGTGTCCTCATTGTAAGCTCATGGGGACACCAGTTTTAATGTTGAGTAAAGACGAAACAAGCAAAGAAAGTAGGAAGAGCAGCTGTGACGTATTGGCTGGTGAATGAAAGGTGTGAAAGTCTCTGTAGGAGCACTTGTTGGAAAGGGAAAGGGTTCACGCCCCTTTTTTAAAATTCAGTGAATGAAATGGTCAATAGTAACAGAATGCCTAGATTGACGTTTTAGTTTTAATTAAAGTTGTAGAATTGTTAAAAAATTATACCAAAAAAATCCCCTAAAAAAAAATAATAAAAACTTAAAAAAAAAAAAGGTCCAATCTGTACCAGTGAAATGCTTATAGGTTCCCCGTAAACTGAACTTGAAGCTATGTGCAGGTTAACACCCCGGCACTGTACGCTGACAGTAATCTGCTGTGTTGGAGTAGAGACTTTGGCTGTACACAAACCCTCCTGTTACGTAAGTCAATATTTACTGTGGAACCACAACAGAATTCAGTTCATAAGATGGAACTCAAGGAGACCAGGAAGTGTGGTGAATCAGAAGCAAATGGATTGTAAGATGATTGAAATGTATCACAAATCCAGTGTGTGATTTAAGGTGTATTTATCCTCCTCTGTGTCCTTGCTCACATGCAAAGCAGGATTGCTGCTCACCTCCCGGCAGTCAGGCTTTGAGACTGTCTAGAGACAGGCAGGAGGAAATGTGGAGGGGGTCAGGGTGGTAGTGGGAGGGGTCTAGTTTTAGAAGCCATATGTCTTTCCATTATAATGCAGGGGCAGATGGAGTGCTGTAGCCTTGCCTGGGCTCAGTGTTCACAGTGCCATGGATTAACATAGCTCAGGTTTGACAGCTCCCTGTAAAGACTGACCCTGGCCTCTCCCCAGGGCAGCTTACACAAGAACACATTGTGCAAAAGCAAATTATACAGTATCCCAAACACTGTGGACCTCAGATAAACATGACAGAGACTTGTCATGTCCAACAGAGCAGAGGTAGACTGTCCCTACACTGACTTTTCAGACTTGATAAGAATGCAGAGAAATTGACAAATTTGAAATAAGAATAAGTAGTTTTATGATTTGATATTCACCTCTGAAACCTTGATTAAATCCTGCTCTATACATTTTGGTGTTGGAAATGCATTAAAGCTGCAGTAGATAATTTTTGTAAAAAATAACTTTTTGTCATATTTGGGTTGAAAGCTTGAAGATAGTTGATTGTTGAGTCTCATTCCTAGGGTCCCAAACCCCTCTGAATTTAACGCCCTGGCAATGAGACTTATACAATCAAGTGTCTGTCCTGGCTCTGATTGGTTGTTTACATTCAGCCCCAGTGAATTCTTGCAAATGCTATTTGGAGCACTGGGTGGAGCCGAGGAACCTGATTTTTTTTCACAGATTATCTGTTTTATGTACTACTGTCAGGATAATGAAAACCAAAAAGTTTTTTTTAAGTGACCTACTGCAGCTTTAAATCAAGTTGTTTCAATGTAGCACAACACCTATAAAACAAATTTAGCCTCATTCTACTCAGGAAACCCATCATTTATCACAAAACCTGCATGAAAGCTGTTGTTCCTCCTCACTAGTCCATAATTTGGTGTAAGGAAGCACTTCCAGGCCAAACCCCTCTTTAACCCACAACTGAACCTTTTAATGTGCAGCTTTCAGCAGCTGATTTGACTTATTATCAGCTCCTCTGTTGACATTCAGTTAATGTATGGGTTGAAGGGGAGCCTGCAATCTCTTTCAAGGCTCATGATTGATACTGCTGTTGCATAATTTGGTCCGTGGACAGGTTTCGTCATGTCTACATAACCTCTATGTATGATTATGGAGGCAAAACAGCTCAACCACAAACAGCAGAGCAGTGACACCATCACAAATATTTACAATAATAACAATTTATGACTTAATTTCGGACAATATACAGTTTTTTTATGTAAGTAATGTGAGTAATGAAATGTACCAAAGTCAGTATTGCAAGGTAGATTAAAATGTGGCAGTGAATATGCTAACTTCATGTAATACATGAAGCCAGAACTAACTCTGGATATCTGAGTTTCAAAAACTGTTTACAGCGAGTGATTCACTGACCCTTTTTTGCTCCGGGATCACTTCTCGGGTATCATACAGGCCGTCCTATCTTGTTGATGGAGCCTGCAGGCAAGACTTGGGGCAAATAAAATACATCTACATCCTCTGCATGTTTAAAATAATTATTGTGTGATATGATCAAAATCTCGTATCCAGATATAGGTAATTTCATATCCAAGGATGCACATTTTCTTTAAATTCAGTGAAAAATAGTTTATGTATAATGACCAAATGGCAAATTGTTGTGCAAATTTTCAATTAAGCATAGAAAGAAATATAAAATATTAATATATAAGTATTAAATAAACAATAAAGAATAAGATATGATAGACTTTATTGATCCCACACTGGGGAAATTCACTTGCTACAGCAGCTCCAGATACAACACAAGACAAATAAATTCTGCTTAATTTGAACTGTTACTAATGGGCTGTGGCCAAAGTCACGTTAGTGTCTGTAACTGTAAACTGTGAACTGTAAGTCAATTCAGTTCAGTACACAGTGGGGAAAAATTGACACCTGACGCTTCATCATGAACCCTTAATCATTGAAAAAAGTTCAATACTAGGCCTACTGGTAAATTATATGACCCTATTCTGTGCTATTCTGGTCCTTTTTAAATAAGGTCAGCGAATTAGTACAACTTTGATCTAAACAATATTTCTCATTTATTTATGCTACCATTATTATGGACAGAATAAGCATCATAATTTGTTATTTGCTAGATTGATTTTAATCAATGTATGTAAGTGTAAATAGCATTTGCTTTTCCCCTCTGACTGTGTAGCAACCCTTTTTTTATGACTGGATATATTTTTAGTATGTGTTCCCTCTCTGCTCTTGCAAAAAAGAACTTGAATTCTATGAGATTCCTCAATATAATAAAGGTTATAATAATAAGCAAGTCTTTCAGAGGGTAACAGTGGATGGATTGATCATGTTTCTTTCAATACTCTCTTGGAAAGGAAAACTCTCTTGACTTTTCTGTAACATGTAATTGATAAAACTCGCTAACGATATACGAAGAAACCTGATAAGGTCAAGGTGATGTGGCACATAAAAGATTTAATTCTGTGGTTCTCGTGGAGCAGTGAACACATGCAACTTTGTAATGTTGCTGGTATGAAATAGTCAGAGAGAAACTGAACACCAGCTGCTAGCTGCACCACTCAAAACTCTGATTAATTCATAAAAAAGGTAGCGAGAGTTCTAAAACCACTTGGTGTGCAGATCCAGAAAATGCCCCTCTAATCATGTGACCTTTGTTCTGTCCTCCAGGAGTGTGTCTGAACTGTGAGGGCAACACCCAGGGATCCAACTGCGATGAGTGTAAGCCTGGTTTTTACCGCAACCCTGGAACTGCCCTGACTGAAGCCTGTGCACCGTGTCCCTGCTCCAACTTCACCTCCAGCGGCACCTGTCACACCGGTCAGTCCCACGCTGCTCACAGCCACACGTCAGGCATTAGCTCAGTTCTTGATCCTTGTGATTAAGCAGGTTTGTCTTCACTGGCTGGATACACAGCATTAAGTCAGTGCTGATCCTGGGCATTCTGACACTGATAATGTCTTAGAAAACGTTTTCCTCTGTCAAACTGTGCCCTAGCAGTGCTTTAAGTATCTCAATGTGACATCAGGGCGTTGACCTTTGGCCAGTTATCTAAGGTAATAAGAGAAATGCAATCAAAGGGAGACAAGATGAAAAGGAGAGAAGCCAGCAATGCACAATTAATTGCAATATTATCAAAATGTGGCCAAGTGCATCCAAACCACAGAAGCTGCAGTTTGTTTGATATAGGTCAAATGTGTGACAAACAGCATTATAATGAAGTACTGTAGTGCTGCAGAGATCCCCTTATCTACAAATGTTGTTTACCAAATTTAATAAAACATGTTTGTTTGGTATAGACCCCAACAAATGTCACATCATCATGATTTCATAGTTGTTGTTTTTTTCAGTGAAAATTACATTTTTGACCTCACCTGAAAATGAGAATCATTGTGTTTTTGTTAGCTTTGAATGAGCTGTTTTTATCTACAGAGGGCCGCCATGTACCACCATGTTTCTACAGTAGCCCAGAACGGACAAACCAAACACTGGTTCTAGATAGGACCTTTCACGTTTTTTTGTGGGGATCCCCAGCCACTGTAGTTTCTCCTGCACGTTTGGAATGGGAGGGTGAGGTGAAGGTGTTGCAATCAGTTTTGTAGAAGCCTTACACAGTCCAGAGAGTTTGTGTCAGCTGTGGTTGGTTAAAACCATTTGAAGGCTTTTACGGCATTACCAACTCAATCTCACCATGAACACAGAGCAAAGCTGAAATTTCAATTCACTTCCATTAGTGAACTGAGAGGCCTTTTTACCTTCAAGTACCATTCACATGAATAATTCATGAATCAACACATCTCTAGTGGCTTAACGCTGCAGAAAAAAAAATCAGCTCTCCAAATGTCTCTAACCAGACAAAAGAAACCTGCCAAATTCAGCCATTAGTTCCAGTCTCTCTTCATTTACTTGTATAGAGAGGTGCATTTA